AGAGACAAGGTCTCACTGAGTTGCTTAGCACCTCACTTTTGCTGAGGCTGGCTTTGAACTCAGGATGCTCCTGCCTTGGGATGTTCTCCCCAGCTGTTAGGATTACAGGATTACAGCTGTTGGGATTATTGGATTACATTAGCCAGTTAGCCATCAAGCCTGGCTGCCCATTCCTTTTTCATTGTTTTTGTTGTTGTTGTTTTTGTTTTTTGGTATTTCACAGTCTTTTTTTTTAAAAAAAAAATTAATATTTTAGGTGTAGATGGACAAAACACAATGCCTTTATTTGTATGTGGTGCTGAGGATCGAACTCAGGTCTTGCCTAGAATCTGCCGCTGAGCCACAATCCCAGCCCTCACAGTAATTTCCTGACTAACTAAATGAGAAGAAAGATATTAATTCACCTTTAAGTTGCTGAGGCTGGCTTTGAACTCATTATCCACTTGCTCAGCCTCCTGAATTGCTGATTATAGGTGCCACACCCCAAAAGTTTTTCAATGGTTAAATCATCTCCCAGTGTGCAACCTACATAAACCCAAACCTCCCCTCAAATGGGGGCCATTTTTTCAGCTCAGAGAGTCAGCTATCTGAGACCTAACTCTGTTACTGAATAAAAGCATAGCTGGTCATGAGGTCTGCTTCTGTCCTTGTTATTTGTACTTTCATTATGGTGCTGAAACTATTTTCATTATTTTTGTTTATACTTTGACAATTTCTCTCAAGCATTGAGCTTGAAATTCACCAGTTTAACCCCATACTCCTGCCTCACTACCAAACTGCCAAATACATTTGTGGAACAACAACAACAAAACAAAAACAAAAAGAATGCCTATTCTCAAGAGTTGTCTTCCTTTGTGTGGCTGAAATTAGGTTACTGCCATTTTTACATTCCAATCCAAGGGAATAGAAAAAATACATGTGTCTCCAGATAAACCATGCTTTTAGGCAGAATTTGCATATAGTATTTCTGCTTCTGAGTCATTGTGAAAACTGAAATTTGACAATACATACTAGCTGCAAGGGAGGCTTGGGGAATATAGTCTCGAATTGCCTTAAAAGTGACTAGGTGCTAAAAGGCTTTGTACTCAGTTGAATACTAAAAGATGGGCAAATATTGTAGGGAAAAGCCAAGGAAAGAAAAAGAAAACTAATGACCTCATTTACAATGAATCCTAAACCAACATAATTTCTTTATTGTAGACATGTTAATGATGTCATGCTGTTTTATTTATTTATTTACTTTTTTTGTGTGTCGGTGGTGCTGGGAATTGAATCCATTTCCCACTGTTTCCTAAAGCATGGTTGATAAACCTAGGAGTTAACAAGCCTTATGGCCAAGTATTCTGCTCTAAAAGGGCACCTTTGGGGCTGGGGTTGTAGCTCAGAGGTAGAGTGCTCTTGTCTCTCATGCTTGAGGCCCTGGGTTTGATCCTCAGCACCACATTAAAGAAAGAAATAATAAAGATACTTGCCACAGTCTGGCTGGGCACAAATGCCGCAGTCTGGCTGGGCACACAATCACGAGCCACCACACAGCTTGTAGATTCAAACAGCAACTCTTTATTCCCGAACTCACACCAGCCGTCTACAATCACGTTCTGGGGAAATCCATGTTCTCTGCCCAAATCCACCTCCACTGGGCTTCTATCTCCCAAAATATACTGTCTGAATCCCATGAGAACTCAAGGGGAACTCAGGCAGCAGGGTATGCCCTATTCCCAGCAGGAATAATCTTAAACCTTAAACCTGGAACCTAAACTGGGAACGCCCTAAACACGATTATCTTAAAACCGGGAACACCCTAATCTGCCTTGGTCCTTGAGCAAGGTCACCTACATTCAATGTCACTGCAACATGTCAGCAACATGGGGTACGCTGGCAAGGAAATTGTCATACCTACTTGGCTAATGGCTCCCAGCAGATACTAAAAAATAAAAAGGCACCTTTGCCTTTTTAGGGGGGCGGTGGTGCTATGGATTCAATTCTGGGTACTTTACCACTGAGCTACCTTCCAGTCCTTTTTAAGTTTGAGACTGTGTCTCAGTAAATTGCTGAGGCTGGCCTTGGCCTTTCAATCCTGAGTTTCTAGGATTATAACATGTACCACCTGGCTTTTAAAGTTTGGGAAATACAGGGACAGGGTCTGTAATTTATGAAAGGACACTTGCAGAGTCCACGCCAAGTCCAAAGTCAACGTCATACACTGGAATCTCACGAAAGAGATTTCTTTTCAGTAGCACAAATTAAATCGACAAGGCTGTCCTTCCGAGAAGAGCAGCAGTGTGTCCGAGCGAGCACAGAGCAGCTTTATGTCCCTCAAGAGGAATTTCATGAGCTGCTTAGGAGTGGCATCATAAGCAACATAAGTTGATTGTTTAGCTGGCACATGTTCTTACAGGAAGTTAAGTGGCATTGCCTTAGAATCAAAATTTTGGAGCCTCTACATAAAATGGCTCCCAACCTAAAATGGCAGCTCTGATGCCAATAATTTATAAAATCAGATACAGTCTAGCATAATCTAATCTGTTTTGGGGGAACGGTGGTGGGTGGTCTTTTCTCAACCTATCCAGTTGGATGACAAAGTTTTCTATGACACACTGGGTTGTAAATCTCCTCAAGTGACAACAATGTAAACATATCCCTTCAGTAAACATACTTTCTGGTTCATGAGATTACTTCTTCCATATGTCAAGAGCTTTGTAATGTTTTAAACAACCAATAAAAAGAAAAAAGAAAAAAAAAGAGATTACTTCTTCCTTTCTTTCTTTCCTTTTTTTTTTTTTTTTTTTTTTTTGGTACTGAGGGATTGAAAAGAGGAGCCATTAGCCACTGAGCCACATCCCCAGCTCTTTGTTTGTTTTTTTAAACAAACAGGGTCTTGCTTAGTTGCTCTGGGCCTTGCTAAATCACTGATTCTGGTTTTGAATTTGTGATCGTCCTGAGCTGCTGGGATTAGGGCATGCACCACCAGGCCAAGCTGTGTTCTTCCTTTTTGTCTCCTAGCTGGTGATCCTGTAGGGGTTTTATATTGGTGAATGTCCCTTACACTTCAGGATTGGTGCAAAGACCAAACACTTGGAAATCAAACTTTACTTAGCTGAAGAAAAGAGGAATGTCACCACAGGTGCCTGTCAACAGGAGCAAATCTTTCTGACTGGATTTGGCCACCTGCCCCACATAATGATCAAAAGATGGGAAAAGGAAAAATGTATTTCATGCAGTTGATTAAACTGGGGAGAAACAGATAAGTTGCTTCTCTGGTGGGTCCTATAGAAATAAAAAGAATTTATAAAAACAAAGCCAGGGGGCTGGGATTGTGGCTCAGTGGTAGAGCACTCACCTAGCCTGTGCACGGCCCTGGATTTGATCCTCAGTGTCAGATCAGGTGAGGCAGACCAAAGGAGGCAGATTTAAAAGGGCTGCTGAACAGGCTTTATTGAGATATCGCTCCTGGGCGGAACTCAGACCCACAGAGGGGACAGGGGAAGAGTCTGAGGAGAAACCACATGGAAGCTTGACTGGACTGGACTTTTATGGGGCTTACAGCAGGAAGGGAAGGGCTCAGGACAGGAAAAGGTGTTTCTAGGGTCCCTTTCCCCCTTGGAGTTGGTCAGGGGAGTTGGCTGAACTCCAGGATTGGCCAGGGGGTCCTGCTGATTGACAGGCGTTAGTCAAGAGATCTGGCTGATTGACAGGCATTTCTGCCGGCATCTGATTGATGTTCTTTTCCAGCGCGGTCTGCTTTGTTCTAAGTTGCCAATAAGTCGCCAGCAAGTCGCCATCACCGACCTAACACTCAGCACCACATAAAAATAAGTAAAATAAAGGTATCATGGGGCTGGGGTTAGGGCTCAGCAGTAGAGCCCTTGCCTAGCATGTGCAAGACCCTGGGTTCAATCCTCAGCACCACATAAAAATAAATAAATAAAATAAAATTATCGCATACAACTACAACTAAAAACAAACAAACAAAAAAAGATTTTTAAAAATTCTATGTTTAAAAAATAATAAAGGTATTGTGTCCAACTGAAGGACCCCAAGGCCCCAGGCCCAACATTAGGAAATCTAACCCCTGTGCCCTGAAGCTGCAAGATGTTCTCTTACACAACCCCCATGTCAAAACCCCACCAGCTGCACGTAGCATTTCAAGTCTTGCACAATGCCACCACAAGATGTTCCATATAGATAACCCCGGAAGGGCCAAACTTGAGCAAACAGGGTAAAAACAGGAACTAAACAGGGTAAAAACAGGAACTAAAAGGACAGGATGCAATTTTATGGTTTTTCCGAGAACTAAAGTGGAAAAACAAGTTTACCCCCCAGGTGACCTAAAGGCTGGATTCAGAGGAACCAATAGAATAACTGTTACTGTGCTAAGCTAAAAACTAACCCCCTGCTCTCTATAAAAGATCTGTGCCCTAGAGCCCGGTGTGCCAGTCACCAAAGCTCCGGCTGAGGTTTCACTGAGCACCCGCAGGCGCCTGTGTATGAATAAAGAGCCTCCTGCTTTTTGCAGCCAGTGTCTCGTGTGGTTCATTCTGGGTTTGAGATCTGTGGTTCTTTCATTGTGGAGGTCCCACCGAGATCCAGGATCCCAGTTCCGACCCAGATCCCTATCCGGAGGACACCCGACATCACTGGGAGGTAAGCCGGCCAGCTTGAGCTCTCTGTTTTGTTGGTCTAATGTTTAATGTCTTGCGCAGCGTCTGTAAGACTATGCATAGTCATCCAGTATTTTGAGGCAGCTTGAGAAGGAGTTGACGAACTCAGACTTCTCCCCTGCCACCCTGGGAGACGTCCCAGGGATCAGAGGGGCCCATTTCTTCGGGGCCCCCAGTGTTTCCGAGGGATACACTGTCTTTGTAGGCAACGGAGAAACCCGTGCTTCTCCCAGGCCGTCTGATACTTTCTGTTTCCACTGAAGTCGCGCAGCGCTCTTCCTGTTTGGTCTTGTCTTTGTGTCTGTGTGTTTGTCTCTTTACTTTCTCTCTACAACTAACATGGGGCACTCACTGACCACTCCTTTGAGCCTCACTCTAGATCATTGACAAGATGTTCAAGATCGGGCAAACAACCTGTCCGTGACAATCAAGAAAAAGAAATGGAAAACACTCTGCACCTCGGAATGGCCAGCCTTCAACACTGGCTGGCCGGCAGAAGGGACTTTTAACATTAATCTTATCTTACAGGTGAAATCCCAAATCTTTACCCATGGTCCTCATGGACACCCCGACCAGGTACCCTATATAGTTACCTGGGAAGATCTGACCTCCAATCCACCCCCTTGGGTGGTTCCTTTCTCTCCTCCCAAACCCCTTGAACCTTCTGCTCCCCTCATCCCCGTTCCCCCTCCCCCTTCTCAAACCTCTCAACTTTACCCCGTTCTTAACAAATCTGAGACCTTAATTAAAGCAGGGGCAACACCAAAGAAGGTTCTGCCGCCAGAAGACTCAACTCTGATTGACCTGCTGACTGACGAGCCTCCTCCTTACCAGCCCCAACCCTTACAAGCCCCTGAGCCCGATCAACAATCCTCAGAGGAGGAAAACAACCAGGAGGGTCCAACCGCCAGTGCTCCCCCGGATCCATCTCCCATGGTGGGACGACTCCGGGGACGTCGAGACCACACCGCCTCAGGGGACACCTCTAAAGTCCTCCCCCTATGAAAAACAGGGGGCCCCAATGGCCAATATCAGTACTGGCCTTTCTCTGCCTCTGACCTCTATAACTGGAAAACCCATAACCCTTCCTTTACTAAGGACCCTATAGCTCTAACTTCTTTGATTGAATCTATTCTAGTAACTCACCAGCCAACATGGGATGATTGCCAGCAGCTCTTACAGATACTCCTCACTTCAGAGGAAAAACAAAAGGTTCTCTTGGAAGCTCGCAAAAATGTGCCAGGGGACGATGGGCGCCCCACCCAACTCCCAAATTTGATTAACGAAGCTTTTCCTTTAACCCGGCCAAACTGGGACTATGCAACTGAAGCAGGTAGGAACCACCTACGTCTCTATTGCCAGTTACTCATAGCGGGTCTCCATGGAGCAGGGCGACGGCCCACCAATTTGGCTCAGGTAAGACAGACTATCCAGGGGTCAGAGGAAACTCCAACAGCCTTCCTAGAGAGATTAAAAGAGGCTTATCGGAGGTTTACTCCCTTTGATCCTGATAGTGAGGACCAGAAAGGAAACATCTCTATGGCTTTTATTTGGCAGTCCGCCCCAGACATCAGGACTAAATTGCAAAGATTAGATAATCTACAGGAATTTTCTCTAGCAGATTTACTGAAGGAAGCTGAAAAGATATTTAACAAAAGAGAAACTCCAGAAGAACGAGAAGATAGGATTAGAAAGATGCAAGAAGAACGAGACCTTAAGCTTAGGGAAGAATCAGATAAGAGAGAGAGGGAAAAAGACCTGAGGCATAACAGGGAACTGAGTAAGATATTGGCCACTGTAGTTCAGGCAGGACAGCAGGGAGACAAGATAAACAGGGACAGGGAACGGAGCAAACCCCGTGTAGACCGAGACTAATGTGCCTACTGCAAGGAAAAAGGACACTGGGTAAAAGACTGCCCAAAGAGACCCCCCAACCCCAGAAGAGGTACAAATTGGACCCCCCAACTGCTAGCCTTAGACGAAGACTAGGGGAGTCAAGGCCAGGAGCTCCCCCCTGAGCCCCGGGTAACTCTGCAATTAGGGGGGCAACCTGTGACCTTCCTAGTGGATACAGGAGCCCAACACTCGGTGCTGACGCGAGCACCAGGGCCCATGAGCCACAAAACGACATGGGTTCAAGGTGCCACCGGGAGCAAACCATACCGATGGACCACCAAAAGAGAAGTACACCTTGCCACAGGTAAGGTTTCCCATTCGTTTCTACATGTGCCTGATTGTCCGTATCCACTACCAGGAAGAGACTTATTGACCAAGTTAAGAGCCCAAATTTATTTTAAGGATGGGAGTGCCTCCATCACAGGGCCAAACCAGACCCCCTTACATATATTGACTTTCAAATTGGAAGACGAATATAAACTGTTTGACAAACCTTCTGTACCTATAAAAGATATGAACTATTGGCTTAGTTCTTACCCGGAGGCCTGGGCTGAAACTGGAGGAATGGGAATGGCTAAACAACAATCTCCAATAGTCGTTCACCTAAAAGCCACTGCTACTCCCATCAGTATTAAACAATATCCTATGTCAAGGGAGGCCTATCAGGGCATCAAACCACATATCAAACGCCTCCTAGACCAAGGCATTCTAACACCTTGCCGGTCGCCCTGGAACACTCCATTGCTGCCCATCAAAAAGCCAGGAACTAATGATTACCGACCGGTCCAAGACTTAAGGGAAGTCAACAAGAGGGTAGAAGATATTCACCCCACTGTGCCAAATCCTTACAATCTCCTCAGCACCTTGCCTCCTACCCATACTTGGTATACTGTTCTGGATCTGAAAGATGCCTTTTTCTGCCTAAAACTGTCTCCCCAAAGTCAGGCTCTTTTTGCATTCAAATGGAAGGATCCAGAGGAAGGAGTCTCTGGACAACTGACCTGGAGGAGACTGCCACAAGGATTTAAAAACAGCCCAACACTCTTCGATGAGGCCTTGCATCAGGATTTGGCCGATTTTCGTGTAAGACACCCTTCCTTAATCCTGCTTCAATATGTAGATGACATCTTGCTGGCTGCAGCCTCCAAGGAAAATTGCCTAACAGGTACGGAGGAATTATTGCAAACTCTGGGACTATTGGGGTACCGGGCGTCAGCAAAAAAGGCCCAAATCTGTCAGACAAAAGTTACCTATCTTGGCTATGAACTCCATGACGGTCAACGCTGGTTAACAGCTGCCAGAAAAGAGACTATCTCGAGTATACCAGCCCCCCAGAGCCCCAAGCAGCTGCGGGAATTTCTAGGGACCGCCGGTTTCTGTAGACTCTGGATTCCTGGGTTTGCTGAGATAGCAGCCCCCTTGTATCCACTGACTAAACAAGGTAATTCCTTTACCTGGACTAAGGAGCATCAATTGACATTTGATCACATTAAATTGGCTCTTCTGTCAGCCCCTGCCTTGGGCCTACCAGACATCACCAAGCCTTTTGATCTATTTGTAAATGAAAAACAGGGTTATGCAAAAGGGGTTTTAACCCAAAAGCTGGGGCCCTGGAGGCGACCTATAGCCTACCTGTCAAAGAAATTAGATCCAGTGGCAGCAGGATGGCCACCATGCCTCCGGATGATAGCGGCTGTGGCCCTTCTGATTAAAGATGCCACTAAACTGACTTTGGGACAGCCATTAACCCTATTAACCCCTCATGCCATTGAAACCATAATTCGCCAGCCACCTGATCGCTGGATGTCAAACGCCTGACTCACCCATTACCAGTCTCTATTGTTGGACACTGACCAAATTCAGTTCGGCCCCATGGTGACCCTGAATCCAGCAACCCTCCTGCCACTCCCAGGAGAAGCCAATCCTCACAACTGCCAGCAGATTCTTGCAGAGACACAGGGAACCCGGCCAGACCTCACAGACCAACCAATGAAAGACGCGGAGCTGATCTGGTACACAGATGGAAGCAGTTTTCTGCTCAATGGAGAACGACGAGCGGGAGCGGCCATCACCACCGAATCTGAGGTAATATGGGCGAGTGCACTTCCGGGCGGGACATCAGCTCAGCGGGCAGAACTGATAGCTCTGACTCAAGCCCTGAAGTTGGCAGAGGGGAAGAAGCTAAACATATATACAGACAGCAGGTATGCCTTTGCCACGGCTCATATACATGGAGAAATTTACAGGAGACGGGGATTACTGACCTCAGAGGGGAAAGAAATCAAAAATAAGACTGAAATATTAGCTTTGCTTAAAGCTTTATTTTTGCCTAAAAAGTTAAGTATCATGCATTGTCCCGGCCATCAGAAAGGGGATACTCCAGAGGCCAGAGGAAACAGATTAGCAGATGAGACAGCAAAAAAAGCCGCCCTAGGGCCACTACTTCTGATAATGACTCTATTGCCCCAATGAGCAGACCCACAACATGATGACCATGAGGAACAATGGGTCTATGAGGACCAAGATTTAAGTGTCATACAGAAACTGGGGGCCACTTACAACCCAGAAGAAAAGACCTGGAAATACCAGGGAAAGACTATCATGCCCCTCAAAAATGCAAAACAACTGGTGAAGTCCCTACACAGACTGACACATCTTGGGGCTAAAAAGATGAAAGAACTCTTAGAACGTGGAGAGGGTACTCTATATCTTCCAAATAGGGATCGACTCCTCCAGAGGGTTGCAGAAAATTGTCAGGCATGTGCCCAGGTAAATGCTGGTAAAGTCAAACTTGGAACAGGAGTCCGGGTTCGAGGACATAAACCCGGGACACATTGGGAAATAGATTTCACTGAAGTCAAACCTGGTATGTATGGATATAAATATCTTCTAGTCTTCGTTGATACTTTTTCCGGATGGGTCGAAGTGTTCCCCACCCGACATGAAACTGCCAAAACCGTTGCTAAGAAGCTGTTGGAAGAAATTTTTCCAAGGTATGGGGTACCCGGGACAATTGGGTCGGATAATGGGCCTGCCTTCGTCTCCCAGGTAATTCAGATGGTGGCCAATACATTGGGGATTAATTGGAAATTACACTGTGCTTATAGACCCCAAAGTTCAGGGCAGGTAAAAAGGATGAATAGAACCATTAAGGAGACTTTAACTAAATTAACGCTTGAAACTGGCACTAGAGACTGGGTACAACTCCTACCTTTAGCCTTGTATCGGGCCCGAAACACCCCAGGCCCACAGGGATTAACTCCATTTGAAATCCTGTATGGTGCCCCACCACCCACTGTTAACTTTTATGAAACTGAAACCTATGCCTCCCTCACCCCATCTATGCAGACTCATTTACGTGCCTTGCAATTGGTCCAGAACGAGGTTTGGAAGCCTCTAGCCGCAGCATACAAAGAGGAACTTAAAACCCCCTCGCTACCACATCCCTTCAAGGTCGGAGATACCGTCTGGGTACGCAGACACCAGAGCAAGAACCTCGAACCACGGTGGAAAGGACCCTACACCATTCTGCTGACCACTCCTACTGCAATCAAAGTGGACGGCATCGCTGCTTGGATCCACGCGTCCCACGTGAAGACTGCCCATCCACAGGAGTCCGCAGATACCTCTCCAGATCCAGAATGGAAGCTACAACGCATCCAAAATCCACTAAAGATAAGACTCACTCGCTGTTGATTTTTTTTTTTGCTTTGTGCTTTATCTTCCCCATATCAGCCGCCTATAACCCCAACCAGCCTGTGAGCCAGACATGGCAAGTAATATCGGGGACAGGAGAGATAGTTTGGGAAAAAACTTCCACAAAATACCCCCTTTGGGCTTGGTGGCCTGCCCTAGACCCTGATCTTTGTCACCTGCTGGCTGGAGCAGACGACTTTGATATCCCGGCTACTGACCCAGCTAAACCAGGTCCAGAAGTGTGCACCACCAGTGGACGCTGCCCCTGCTCCCGTTATCCAGCAGGGTGTAGGGACCCTAGAGCTCGAGCAGCTCTAAGAAAGAAATCCTTCTACGTATGCCCTAGGGACGGGAGATCTAGGAAGCAGGCATATAAATGTGGGCAATATGAATATTACTATTGTGGGGCTTGGGGATGTGAAACTACGGGGGAAGCATGGTGGAAGCCAAGCTCATCTTGGGATTTAATACAAGTAAAAAGAGAAAAGCAAAATGAGCCCCCACTCTCCACCGGCTATTGCAGGAGTACGCCTGGGACAGTCAAAACTTTATGGTACGGGGATGGGCCATGTACCGCATTTGCCTGCAACCCCTTAAACATCACCTTTACTCAGGCAGGCAAAGTATCAAAGGATTGGATGAAAGGAAGGCTATGGGGCCTAAGAGTATATCACCAGACTGCCTATGACCCTGGGGTCCTATTCAAAATTAGATTACTAGTAAATACCAACCCCCAACCAGTAGGCCCTAATGAGGTACTCTGGGATCAAAAGGCTCCTCCTCCTAAAAGATATACTCCTCCTCCCCAAAGATATACACCAGCACCCTCAAAGCCAACGTCCCCATCTAATCCCACCTATCCAAGCCTCCCCATTCCCCCAACCGTGCAGATTGCCATAAATCGTACCCTATCAGGGTCAGGAAAAAGACTGATAAACCTAGTTGAAGGGGGATATCAAGCCCTTAATTCCACCCAGCCCAATCTTACTGAGTCCTGCTGGATTTGCCTACAGGCAAGCCCCCCCTACTATGAAGGGGTGGCTGTTAACGGGAGTTTTACCTACGATGCTCCCACCAGTTGCAACTGGGGAACAAGACACATGTTGACTTTGCCTGAAGTAACCGGTTCAGGAACATGCCTAGGGGGCTCTTCTATATTGGAAAAAAATGAACTCTGTACACGCACTGTAAGTGTGTCGTCCTCTGATATGTCCAAATACATAGTGCCTTCGCCAGGTCTTTACTGGGCATGTAACACCGGGATTACTCCATGTGTCGCGGTAGCTACCTTTAACCAGTCTAAGGATTTTTGTGTGTTAGTCCAGATCTATCCAAGGCTACTCTATTATTCCACAGAAAAATTTGAGGGACATTTCATGGGCAGGACTCGATTCACCCGAGAGCCTATCAGCATTACCCTGGCAGTTTTGCTGGGGGCAGGAGTGTTGGCAGGGGTTGGAACTGGGGCTGCAGCTCTGATTGAAGGCCCTAGACAGCTGGGGATCCTAGAGGCCGCAATACAACAAGACCTGAGAGCAATAGAAACCTCTGTAACCGCATTGGAAAAATCCTTAACCTCCTTATCAGAGGTGGTATTGCAGAATAGACGGGGGCTAGACTTATTATTCTTAAAGGAAGGAGGACTTTGTGCTGCCTTAAAAGAAAACTGTTGCTTTTACACAGATCACACAGGGGTAGTAAGGGAGTCTATGACAAAGCTCAGAGAAAGACTAGATGAAAGAGAAAAGTCCCTGTGAGGCTCCCAAAGTTGGTTTGAAAGCTGGTTTAATAAATCCCCTTGGTTAACTACTATATTATCCACTGTAGCCGGCCCCTTGATTATATTGCTGTTGATTTTAACATTTGGACCCTGCGTATTTAACAAATTAATGCAGTTTATAAAAGAAAGACTATCCGTAATCCAAACTATGGTTCTCACGCAGCAATATCAGTTACTCCAACAACATGCTGAGCCATCAGCTGAGACAATGCAGGAATCCGAGCACATGGATCAATGGATATAAGATTATATCCATGATATAGAAAAGGGGGGAATGAAGGACCCCAAGGCCCCAGGCCCAACATTAGGAAATCTAACCCCTGTGCCCTGAAGCTGCAAGATGTTCTCTTACACAACCCCCATGTCAAAACCCCACCAGCTGCACGTAGCATTTCAAGTCTTGCACAATGCCACCACAAGATGTTCCATATAGATAACCCCGGAAGGGCCAAACTTGAGCAAACAGGGTAAAAACAGGAACTAAACAGGGTAAAAACAGGAACTAAAAGGACAGGATGCAATTTTATGGTTTTTCCGAGAACTAAAGTGGAAAAACAAGTTTACCCCCCAGGTGACCTAAAGGCTGGATTCAGAGGAACCAATAGAATAACTGTTACTGTGCTAAGCTAAAAACTAACCCCCTGCTCTCTATAAAAGATCTGTGCCCTAGAGCCCGGTGTGCCAGTCACCAAAGCTCCGGCTGAGGTTTCACCGAGCACCTGCAGGCGCCTGTGTATGAATAAAGAGCCTCCTGCTTTTTGCAGCCAGTGTCTCGTGTGGTTCATTCCGGGTTTGAGATCTGTGGTTCTTTCACAACTACAACTAAAAAACATTTAAAACAACAACAACAACAACAAAGCCAGGTGATATACATATGCAGATTTAGTTAGCCAGGCTTGGTGCCTGGGAGGGAGTCAATTTACATTCTTAGCTTCCTGGGCATGTCCCAGGCCAGGTTGGGGCAGTTCTTCAGCCTTTACTCTCAGTGCAAGGAAGTTGTTCTTAATTTCAGCAGAGTCCCAGATTCACTGGGAGTCTGTCAAGGACACATGGCAGAGAGAGCAGCAACCTAGGCCCAAAAGGAGTTGTAACTCCCAGGTATTGAACTTTGCTGGGCCTTTAGCATTCCTTAGGCTGTATAGGGTGTGTGCCAGATTTTTCTGGCAACAACACTCTCCCTTAAAATTTGTTTTTACTTTTTTTTTTAAGAGAGAGGAGAGAGAGAGAGAATTTTAATATTTATTTTTTAGTTATCGGCGGATACAACATCTTTGTTTTGTATGTGGTGCTGAGGATCGAACCTGGGCCGCACGCATGCCAGGCGAGCGCGCTACCACTTAAGCCACATCCCCAGCCCCTTGTTTTTACCTGTTGACTTGTGTGGTTAGGCCCTAGAAATCCCATATCTAAACCAAGTGTGGCACCCTTAGAGGAGTTGTTCTAAATGAGGATTGCGTATTAATTCATATAACTATCTAAAAATCCTGAGACTTGTTAACCCCACTTTATAGATGAGAAAAGTAAACAGTGAGATGAAATGACGGTCCCCCCACACACACAAGATCCCCAGTTTGTTTAGTTACAGCATTGCAGAGACAAGAACTAACGACTTCTGTTGCTCTCCTTCCTTAAACAGGATTCTGATTGCTTCCTTTATAAAAATCCCAGGTCAATTTTCTTCAAGATTCCCCTGCATAATGGATGTTCTCCCTACAGTAATAGCCTAAAAAAACAAAAACCCAAAACCCCTCTTAGAACAAAAAAGACCAGGCTGGATGCACACTTCACGAATCAGTTCAGCTTTTTATTAGAATGAAGTTTCACACAGGAGCAGGGGATACAGGGACGAAAAGACATCATAGTGGAACTCACTTTCCTGGTGGAAAAATGAGCCCCAGAACAAAGAAAGGCCCTGGGATTATATAGGTTATTCTGAGAGGTGGTCTAGTGAGCACATCAATTTTCTTTGGGCGCCCAGGAATTTGGAGTTGGTTCTATCAATCAGTGAAGGGGTCAGTTTTAGTGCTTAGGAATGTGAGGTCTGTTTTATGGGACAAAATGGGAGGGAGTCTAGGGTCAGTGGTCAGTTTCTGGGATTTATCTTACTGGATCTGATGGAGAGCCTGGGGTCAGTGGTTGGTATCTGGAAAGGATTTGTTTCCAGAAGGATTAATGCTTTGGCCTCTTCCCTGCATTTCCAGGTTTGATGGAAACCTCTTCCCCAGGGTTTGTTTTACCACCAGGAAAGAATGTATTGGGAAAGGATCGCTGCTCTCAATCTATGGCTTCTCTTCTCACTCCCCCCCCCCCATCTCACTACTTCTGGGGTTTATCATTTTCCATATCTAATAGCAGGGATGAGGTGATGCTGTTGGACCCACTCTCCTGGTGGAATGAGCCACTGAACAAAGGAGGGACTGAGAGGTGATTTAGTGAGCCTGTCAGTTTGGGCACTTGGGAATTTGGGATCTGTTTTATCAATTAATGAATGTGTCCCTTTGAGCACTCAGAAATTTGAATTTTTGGATGGGGGGTGGTTTGTGATCAGCATCTTGAAAGGGTTTATTTTAGGAGTGATTAATGCTTCCCAGAGAATATCATTTTTAGGTTTGATGAAACACCTTCTCCCTGCTTATGGCCAGCATCTGGAAAGGATTTATTTTAGGAGAGACGAAAGCTATTAATGTATGGCTTTCTTTTTCACTCACTTTTCCCAGGCCTCACTATTTGGGGGTTTGTCATTTTCCATATCTAATACTGTCCCCTTATGTATCTCTTTGTATACTTTCTTTCACATACTTTATAGAAAATGCTAGCTGTTTCCTACTCTAGATCAACAGTTCTGAGGCCAGCAGCAACTGTCCCTCTTTATAGAATTGCAAATGTCAGAAATGCAACTTGTTATAAATAAAAATCTTTAGCCCTACTCCAAATTACTGAGTCAGCGATTTTGCAGATGGCCTACTTCAATTCTCTCCCCCATTTTTTTTTTTTTTCTTTACCAAGGAATTGAACCCAGAGTGCTTTATCACTGACCTATATTCCCAGCCCTTTTTATTTTTGGAGCCAGAGTCTCACTAAGTTTCTGAAGCCGGCCTTGAAATTGAGCTCTTCCTTCCTCAGCTTCTCCAGTTGGTGGTATGCTCAACCCTTCATATCTTTTTTTTTCGTTTTTTTTTTTTTTTTTTTTTGGTGTGAAGGATTGATTGAATCCAAGGGCACTTAACCACTGAGCCACATCCTCAGCCTTTTTTTTTTTTTTTTTTAATATTTTATTTAGAGACAGGGTCTTGCTGAGTTGTTTAGGCCCTTACTAAGTTGCTGAGGCTGACTTTGAACTTCAGGATCCTCCTGCCTCAGCCTCCAGAAACGCTAGGGATTACAGGTGTGCATCATTATGCCTGGCCCTTCATCTCTTTTTAATAAGCTCTCCAAATAATTCGTGTTAATTCTTTATTAAGTAGGTAGT